CGTTGGAGCCGCCTGCTGCGCCGATGGCACCTCTGGGCCAAGGCTTGGGTTTTTTGGGGGTTGGGGTTTAAGGGTTTTAGGGTTTTAGGATTTAGGGTTTTGGGGTTTAGGGTTTTGAGGTTTAAGGGTTGGTGTTTGAGATAAACCTTCTAAGGGTACAGAGTAATACGGTGGATAATAGAAATCCTGTGTACTAAGGTCATGCAGGTTTTCAAGTATGAACAGTAGCTCCTGAATTTAGGTTTCTGAGGCTTGGCTTTCTTGCTTCCAGGATTTCTCTGGGATTTGGAGCTTTGCTTTTGCTCCCTCGGTTTGGATTTGTTTTGTAAGGTTTGCGGGTCTCAGTGCCTGACGCGCATGAGCTTTCTCTGCCATGATGCAACCAGGTTTTCCAAATTTCCATGTCGATGTGCGGGTCTGCCGCAGGAGGACCCCCCACCCTGTCACGGTGGTATAATAGAATATAAGAGAATCTTTATGTAGTTACCATTATCCCTTGTAGTCTGGGTGTTCACCTAAGGTCTGCCCCCGAAACCCTAAACTAAAAGCCCTAAACCCAAAGCAAGCCAAGGTCTTTGCCCCAGTTTCTGTTGAGGCTCCGCTCTCTCCTATTGGCTTATTCTGCATTCTTCGATCCATTGTGAGAATCATCCTGCAAAACGGTGGATACTAAAAATCCTACATGATTCCAGGCACCCTAAACTTTGGGAATTATGGTATTATAGTACATTAGGGTCATGCAAGATTTTGAGTATCAATTGAAGGACTCCTACCTGGACATCAAAAGTAGGTAGTACAATGTCCTGTGAGCCTTTAAACGTAGTCAAAAAGGCCATGAATCAACATGCCTGGGGGTCCGGGTACAACAAACCTTGAATTCCAAAGCCATACGCAAGTCCCTCAGACCCTACGCAATCTAGTAGACTCCCGTCTGGGGTTTGGCATGGGTTTGCAGGGTGTAGGGTTTCGGTCCCGCTAAAACCCTACGTCCTGAGCCCGAAACCCCCCAAACTGGACGGAGAGCAAGGCGCCAAGCAAAAGAGCCGAGAAATGCAGAAGATCCTTCAGCTGATGCAGCAGTTTGAGGTGGGGTTGGGGAGCATAAAATGATCCATAATCTAAACTCCCTAAAGGGGGGGGTTATATATAGGATTCTTTAGGGGAATATTGTAGGGCTTGTTAGTGGGGGGCTACTAGGAGTTTAAACTATACCTTACCTGGTTGTATTTCATGCAGGGATCTTTACACTGAAGCAATACGGGACCTCCTTGGCAGCCTGGCAGGTCAAAGCATGTCCCATACCCCCTGCAAATGATCTGAAATAGTATAGTGCATTTAGTATATACTTTGAAAAATATAGTGTATCATAGTATATTATAGTATGTTAGGGTTATATTGAGTATATATCTAGGCACATAGGGATCAGGGCAAACAAAATGATAGAAAATGGAAACTACTATAGGATAGGTACTTCCTACATATGATCTAAAAGGCAATTAGTCTACATGCTTCTGGATGTGTAGATAGTTGATAGAGCTTGAACATAGGAATTTCATGAAATCGGGGAGGGGCCTAATTCCTTGAGGGCCTGTAGACGCTCCTTGACTTTTTCAGGTCTCCCGCCACCAAATCTGAAGCACGACTTAAAAGGAATGTGTCTTGAATTCCATATACCTTTTCACTTGCTTTTCGGATGCAGTATGAGTTAAACCAAGTGGCTTGACATGCTCTGGGTACATGAAGCGTGTGAGTGTGACTGCGAAGCCCCTCACTGAAACCAATAGGCATTTGTTCAACCGCAGGTTGTGGTACTACTAGGCACTTGCTTAATTTGGATACTCTTCCCAACCTTCAATGTGAAGACCTTAAACAGCCAAACCTTAAACCGTAAACCTTAAACCCCCTAAACCCAAGAGCTAGAAGCCTCAGGTGCTTTTGAACTTCCTGAAGCAGCATGGGGCCCTTCTGGCTTCAGTTAGCGTGGGCCTCAGCTAGGCCCGCGCTACCCGAGTGTTTTCACCGCTTGGTGGTTGTATTTGAGGGTCACCTACAGCAAGCCCAAAGTATCTTCGGGGTTGTAGGGTTCAGAAGGTTGCTGCAGGATATGAAGCCTGTAGGCTTGAGGCAAGCCGCTTCCACGGTGGGTTTGCCCAGACCTTCAAAACAATTTGCCCGTGCCTGGTACGAAGGCTTTCGGAACAAATGCCTCAAACTTGTGCTTTAGCTTGCATGCTGCCCCCACTCTGTGACACTTGCCAAACAAATGTCATGTGTTTATATACAGTCCTTAATATTTTCCGTATTGTAGCTTGTTACCAGCTGGGGAGCGGCACGCAAATCCTCATAAACCCTCAACCCATACTTTAGACCCTAAGCCATGGACCCCTAAACCCTCTACCCTATATAAACTAAAACCCTAAACCCTAAATCATCCTAGACCTATATAAACTTACGTCCTAAGCTCTAAACCCTAAACGGTTGGGAGATCCCAGGACCCGAGCACTTCCTCTCCCACGAGAATTACCTGCGATATCAGCAGAGCCTGAACGTGGGCATCACGAGAAGGCGCGGCCGTCTTTTTGATATGAGCCACAATCTAAACTCGTTGGGTTATACAGGGGATTATATACGGGAGTGCTATATGCAGGGGTTATAAAGTGGGATACTAGGAGTTTAGACCCTCAACCCTAAATCCTAATACTAGGAGTATTAAAGGGGAACTTAAAGGGAATACTAGGAGTTTAGACTATGGCATACGGAGCCCTCATAACATGGGTTGCTGTTCAGGAACTTATATTGAGTTTCCATAAGAAGGGTATAGGGTTTAGGGTATTGTGGGAACTTCAATAGGGAGCCCGAATAGCAAAGCTTATTAGGGGAACTAATACGGGGCCCTATTTTTTCAAACTTCCTACCTAGCTTAAAAGCCAGGGCGAGCATACCTGGCCGAAGGGACAGCCAGAACCGGTTCAGGGTTTAGGTTTTGTAAGGTTTTGTTTGGGATGCTACAGAGAGGATATCATCTTATTCTATATTGGGGTCTATACTATAGACGCCATATAGAGTAAGATGATATCCTCCTTTGGGGTATGGTGGTTTGAATAAGGAATATCATCTTACTCTTCAACCATCAAAAAAGGCTACTCAATTGCTGTGGAACACCCAATCCCTTAAACTACGCAGTCTGTCAGTCTTAGAGGGCCACAGTGTCCACAGGGTGAAGCAACCCTTCTTCAAGCATCCAAAAAATGCGTACTTATGGCGATAACCCTTCTTCCAGAGACCCTAAAGCGTGACCCTGGTTTTTGAACAAGATCCAACCCCCGTGTGTTCAGCACTTTGCTTTCCTGGCATGTGAATGAAAAAAACATCCCCTAAGTTCTAAACCCTGAACCCTAGATCCCTGAACCCTAAACCCTAAGTCTCTGAACCTTAAACCTTGCAGGCAGGTGGACAAGATGTTCTTCCCCAAGAGCATGGAGGCCGGAGACTGAGTGCTCTGACTCCGTGCCTATTTGCATGGTTTGCTTCAAGCTGGGGAATACAATGGGGATTATGGGGGGTTTTGGGGGTTTTGTCTACGGTCCTTAAAGGGGGAGTTATATAACGGATTGCGTAGCGGCTTGCTATTGGGTCTACCCAGCTGGATACTGGAAGTTATGGCTGACATGACCCCCAAGGTGCAGCACAGTTCAAACGGCTCCTCTGACAGGATCCCATGAAGATATAGGGTTTGGGGTTTAGAGTTTGGGGTTTAGGTTGTCTGAAAGTGGAAGATCTTCAAACCTTACACGCAGATGCCCAAGCTTCGGGAGTTGTAGTCCTCGCTAACTAGCTTATGGAAAGAAAGACTTGAAAGCCCAGAAAGAAACATGCATGGCCGCGATCTACTTAAGGAACGTAATCTTCTAAGGAGAACCCCACAGAAATTCCTCGTAACTCCAATTGCATCATGGGGTCCCCAAGGTCACCATGCTTTAAGTGGCCCCGCATATTGAGGCCTGGATGACATGCATTCTGCAAACGGTGAAGATCTTTTTGCTCAACAGGATAACCAGCAAGGCTGGAGATATGGCTGAGGATTTAGGGTTCAGGGGGTTCTGGGAATCTAAACAACCAGAATTGACATGATTGTTCCCAAGGCAACCGCATTCTAGTAAGGTCCAAATCTACAACAAGGTTGTTTGGGAGCAACACATTTATTCGTGATGGTTCGGGCTCCCAGGTAGGGCGAAGGGCGAAAGCTTAGGTTTGAGGGTTCTGGTAGGGGGCTTCCGGTTCAAGTTTAAGGTTTAGGGGTCACGGGGGGTCAGAGCTTGGGGCGCATGATCTCCTACCATGTTTTTGACTCGTGGAGGCTACTTCTCAGCACTATGATTCTATGACGGGCGGACCACCGTTTTCTTATGCTTTTTGGAAATGATTCCACCCAAACCCTACAGTAATCCCAAAACTGTGTGGTTAAATCTTGGGGATGTTGAGTTTGGATCTTCAGATTTAGGCTTCGTGTCGGGATTGACTTATCGACGGTGGGCGGGGAACACGTGAGTTGGGGATCTAGGGACTAGAATAGCGTAAGAGTTTTTGTGCTACACCCACTTGTTACGCCTAGCTTATGGAAGTAGAAAGCTCAGATTCTCTCCATATAAAAGCCTATAAGGGCCTATAGAAAGCTTTTGGGAACAAGGATTTTTTCTGGGGACTGCCGTGCTAGTGTTAGATTAGTGTTCCCAACTCCCCCAAACGAACCTGGGTCCCTAATTCCTCAGATGACAATCAATAGAACCAGGGTTTCAGGGCTCAATACTACCGGCAAAAAAAGGCTGTAGATGGGAATCTTCAGGCCCGCCCCACAACTTCATATCTCGGAACCGCCACGCTAACCAGGGTTTGACATTCCCTCCTCCCCCGCTGACTGCCAGTAAGCTGATGACGGAGGAACCCCATGCAGTACCCCACAACATGGCTCTCTCTTGCGCCCAGCAAAGGCTTTATGAACGTTACCATCAGTGGCAGTGTAGATAGCCGAAAAGCACAAGTTACAGAATGACCCACAATCTAAACTTCTTAACGCGGTTTATGTAAGGGACTATATAGGGGACTACTCTAGGGGTTATTAAGGCGGAGACTAGGAGTTAGGAGTTTAGACTATGGCTCAAATCGAACATCTGCATGCTGAACCCCAAGGCTGAAATCCCTAGCCAAAATATTCCAAAGCTTCAACCCAAGGAACTTGACCCAAAGCCTGCAGCCCGACGCCTAAAGCCTACCTAAGCAGGCCTTCAAAACCTTGCCTGGCATGACGCCCGAGATGGATCAAGCAGTGGGACCACCTGCCCGGGGCCCGTCGTGAAGTTGGGGCTTAGGGTTTATAGTCGCCCCTAAGTAGATAGAAGATGAAGTATATGGGTTTTAGGGTTTAGGATAGTGAAGTCGGGGCTTAGGGTTTAAGATTTAAGGTTTAGGGTTTCTCAAGATAGCCACTAGCCACTCCTGCATGTGGCTAATCCCATACCCTCAGAGCCTCTCCAGGGCGCGCATATTCCGAGGAAGTGCTACATGAAGCTGGGCTTTAGGCCAGTCAGAGGTTGTCTCGAGTTTTTCAACAACTAGGGCCCCCTTTGAGAGTCCCCCATGCTGAGGCTCATCGTAGTATACAAACCCTCAAACCCTAAACCCTACATAGTAGTTTCCATTTTGGAAAGTTGTCCTTATATTACCGCAACGTCTCTAAACCCACCCTAAACCCTGTTTGTATTTGGCCCCCCCCCCCCCCCCACTTCTGTTAGCCACGACATGTGGTATGCTTTGATGGTTGGTTCATAGGGTGTTCACTGTACTGGGCTGGAATGAATCTATAGTCCCGCTTAAGCAGATAGAATATGGTTTCGGGTATATTATAGTAAGATCCCCATATACCCCATATTCTACCTCCTTGAGGGGACTATAGACTAATAATGCGGTTTGGGTTGCAGATTAGCTGCGCCTTCAGAGTAAGGTTTAGGGTTTAGGATACAGGCTTGCGCCCTAGGAGTGCTCTGTGTCCAGGGGGCTCTCGTGACAGCTCATCCTTATCAACAGGAATCCTTATCCCCTGAACTCCCGGACCCCAGCCTCTATGCTTATACACCTCATCCCAGATCCCACCGCAGAGCCCCAAAACCCGAGATCGCAAAAGCCTGGGAATCATCCTTTCGCAAAACCCCGTACCCTACGTAAACCCTAAGCCTAGGCCAAGAAATACGTACAATATTCTGAGCACCATGGTCAAAGCCCCACCATGCCAAAAATCCATGGAAACCCGTGTAATTAGGAGGGTTTGGGGTTTGGCCTCCCCCTTTGTTATGTTTAGGATTTAGGGTTTAGGATTTAGGGTTCAGGGTTTAGGATTTAGGGTTTAGGGCCCGAGCCCTGAACCCTACACGCCCCCAACACCTCCAGTAGACCATCAGAAGCCCTAAGTGCCCTCTGAAATCCCAAGTCCCTCCCCTTGAGGTGGGCGCCGAGGATCTTACCGCCGAGCAACCGGAAAAGAAGCCTTCCTGCCCTGAGCTGCAGAGCTCCTTGGCAAGGGTTTAGGGTTTAGAGTCGGTTCGGTAGCGTTCCAGATGATCTCAGGATCCTCTGGGTGTCCTGATGATGATGTCAAGGGTTCAGCTGGCTTGGAGGTCTATCAGGGTGATCCCATGTTGTGCTCACTTGGGAGCTTCCAGAAAAGAGGCTTCATGTTGAGTACCTCCGAAAAGGGATCCCTAGTCAAACCTCCATATATCCCGATTTCCGCTTCGTTTTCCATGTTATCTTCCACCTGACCTGAGTCTCCATTATTGGGGGAACTGCCCCCCTAAACCGAAAACCCTATGACCGTCTATATCCCTTGTTTTACACGATCCCAAGAAGGATTCCTTGACTCGGTCTTGTGGGAATCTCCTACTTGCATTGCTCGCACCAGGTGCTCTGGACACGAAGTTCCTGGCGGACTCGAATGTGTACAGCAGCTGGACTGCCATAAGGTGAAGGGTTTACGCAGGGGGTTTTGAGAGGTATAGCCACCTTACCCCAAATGGTACTCCATACAGAAGATGGTCCCAGTTTAGCTTAACCTTGAGGTTCTGAATATGTTGGAAGGGGGCCAGATAATGGTGCGTTGAAGATCGTGGTTCGAGAGTCGTTGTGGGCCCAGCATGTCACGCCGGCCCAGCATCGACGACAGCGAGTGATTTCGGGTCTCTCAATATTATGGAGGTAGAGTGCGACTCTGAAGTAACATGTGGGGATGATAGGGGGGATCCTGGTTACAGATTGCAAAGGGGTTGTGTCAAGGAAGCCTCTCTCTTTTGGGCAAAAAGGTTTCTTCAGCTTCGGTAGGGGTTTTCAGCCTTCGAACTTAATTTGTGGTCCAGGTAGACCACCAAAGCTTAACCTCTTCTAAGCCCCATGAAGCCCTAAGCCTTTGGGGTTTAGGGTTTGGGGGGTTCACGGTTTTTAGGGTCTATAGGGTTTTGGGGTTTACAGGGTTCAGGGTTTAGGAATGTTGCCCCAATGATGGAGAATCGAATGGAAAATGACATGTACACTGGGATTCATAGGCTTTTGGCCCTAAACCCAACCCTGAGGCATGGCCGAGTGCATTCTCTTGCGATGGCTGAACTTCCACTTCTGGTGTGCCAGCTGCACTGGGACGTCCATCAGGGAGTTCACATACAGAAGGGCCCCTGGTATAGAGGGCACCTAATTTTTGGAAACCTCCGCATACGAAGGTCTTTAAATGTCTGTCTGGGTCGTTCGGACTTTGGCACACAAAGAATACTGCCTCTTTGAAGGGGCTTGGTAGCGGTATGCGCTCTTTTTTGGCTGCGGTCTAGTTCGTGAGACACGGTAGTTCAGGACTTTTAAAATGTTTTTTAGGTATCCCTAAGGGTCCAAGGACCCAAATAATGGTGTGTCAGGGTCTAAATTATAGTATTTGGGGCCTAAAACCCTATTATTTGGGTCCTTGGACCCTTTAGGTATTAGGGCTGGCATGTAGATGTGAAAGCCGAGGTGCTAGGATGTGCTCCAGGCAACAATATATCCATACCTGTTAACAGGCCCCGGTGGAGCCCAATACCATTTTTTTAAAAGAAATATAGCCGGAATCATAGTAGGGGTCCTTATTTCATCGCAGGAGTACGAATCACTGGATACACTCGGCGCAGGGGTAGGACTGAGGGTTTGGGATTTATGTTAGGGCTTAGGGTCTTGAAATTTGGGATAGGGAACCCTAAGGGTCCATGTTTTTAATAGTTATATAAAGTTATATACCTACCCAAAAGCTACAATTGCTATTGTCCACAGTCTCAAGTATTGAATTGTGGGGTACATGTACCATCAGGGGAAGCCACACTTTTGCGGACAAGGTTGTTCTATTAACCGCGGCTACCGTAATCCCAGCGAGAACTGCAGTTTCTACCAGGTTTCCAAGTATTAGTAGGCAAAGATACATACCCTAGACGGTAAACCCTAAACCCTCTCCAAAACCGGCATTGTAGAAGCATGCACGAGTTACCAGCAATGCTCCAATACAACTAACCCTTATTGACCTACAGCGCTTTATGTGAGCTATAGTCAAAACTCTTTAATGGGGTTATATAGGGGATTATATAGGGGACTACTTTAGGGGTTACTAAGGGGGATACTAGGAGTTTAGACTATAGCTCATCTGAAGCCTATTTTGAATCTTTTTGTGGCCCCCCAGCAGGCCTGAAATCCTCAACGTTGGTCAGTTGCCCTTACAGCAACAGCTTCCACAAGAAGATAATCGGAGTTATTCTAGGCCCTTCATAAATTCCCTTTGAGGACAGTTACGGTGAGAGGGACTGACCCAACAGCTCTAAACCCAAGCGCTAAACCCTCAATCCTGAACCCTATAGACCCTAAACCCCTGAACCCCTGAACCCTGTAGACCCTAAACCCTGAACCCTTAACCCTAAAGCCCCCACTTTAAAGGGTACCCTGAAATTTGGGAAACCCTGAACCCTCTAAGAAATGAGCCCATCCTCACCCTGGTAGTCAAGGCGTGCCAACAAGGGCAGATTCCAACCGCGGAAGGCTCGAATCTGGCTTTGACACTGCCGGATATGGGTTTCAGGGTTTAGGTTTTGTGATTTCAGGGTCTAGGATTTAGGGTTCAGGCTGTGGGGTTTAGGATACAGTGTTTATGCTTTAGGCTGCAGGGTTTAGGGGGTCCAGGGTTTAGGGTCTCGGGATGTCAAAACACCAAGAATGGAGAATCAAATGGAAAAGCCACTGAAAATTGCATGGAAGCTGGGGCTATATGGGTGTTTATAGGACTTTGGAGATTTGAGGCTTTCCAAACAAAAGGGATCTCTTTTCGGGGCTTCCTAGCGTAAGGATGATAGTACATTGCTGTATATGAGGTATCTCGCTACTTTTGAACCCTAAACCCTAAGCACTGTATAATAGCCTCAGGATGGATTGGCTGGGGTTCAGGATGATAATATGAGCCATAGTCTAAACTCCTTGTATCCCCTCTACTAGCCCCTATAGTAGTCCTTATGTAAGCACCCTTTAAAGGAGGAAAGTGGGGTTATCGACTATGGGACTTGCATAAGAGTCTGTGGGTTTAGAGGTTTAGAGCCCTGGCTTTCAGGATTTTCAGCATATAGGCAGTAGAGTTTACAGGTTGGGATGTACCCATTTATATGCTTAGGCGTTACTGCTCCCTAGTCCCCTAGGGCCCCACCTAAACCCTATAGCACCCCTTAAGGAGATAGAATATGGGGTATGTGGAATATACCCAAAACCATATTCTATCTACCTAAGGGGAACTATAAACCCTAAACACTAAATAGTAGCTTCCATTTTCTTTCCATTATCCCTATATAACCCCAATATGACCCCATATGATCCTAAAACTCCTTTAAAGGGCCCAATATGACCCCCATATGATCCTATAACTCCTTTAAAGGGAACCCTCTAACCTACTTAAGAGGCACTACATTGCTACCACCCTAAACCCTAAACCTTAAAGAGAGCCAGGTCTGCTGCTTCGATGGAGACCTGGAAGACTCAATTGTCTTGGCCGTGGTGATCCAGTCGCATGTGCCGCACTGCCAGGCCGACGTCCTGCTTGGGGCTCTACTGGAGAATCCCTAGACCCTCTAGGGTTAAGGGTATTATAGGGATTATATAGGGATAATGGAAAAAGAAGATGGACACCACTATAGGGTTTAGGGATTCAGGGTTAGGGTTTAGGACCTTAATGGGTTATAGTCCCGGAATAGTCCCCTTCAAGTAGATAGAATCTGGGGTATATGGGGATCTCCCTAAAATGTACCCAAAGCCATATTCCATCTACTTAAAGGGGACAAGAAACCCTAAAAAAAAACCTAAATCGCGTTGTAGGGTTCAGTGTTTCGGGCTATACCTGGACCCTGAATGTCCTTCCTTTTAGCGGCTGTCCTAGGTTTGTGTAGGGTACTTCCCAAAAGAGGCGGGACATCCCAGTCCAGGCAATGCCCACATCGGGTCTTGAAGCCCATAAGCAGTACCTGCGTGGGCATAGTTGCTGTTTGGGGTATGGCTCGCACTACGCCTCCACATAACTCTTTATGATTGCTGATGGTTCTTTGTTACCTCCCATGCCTCGTTATTCGACACCTCAGCATAATACTGGTGGTCGTCATCACCTTCCTCAGAACCGTCTGAATTATGTTTGAATTGCCATCAAAGGAATCCCGCCGGCGCAGTGTTTTGCCTGCTCTTGACAGGCCGTGCAGAACATGCGGGCACAGTGCACAAGTTTGGATCACCACGAGGAGAATGCAACTTGGCGACACTGATTGAGGCAGGATTTTTTTGGTCCTGGCAAGAGGCAGCATGGCATCTCTTCAAGCAACCTCATTGTGAATGCCAGTACGAACATACTCACCTACTGTGCTTTCCCAGGAGGCGAGCCTGAAGATACTCGTAGAGGCAATCTAGACATGCATCATCGTCGTCGACGTCGTCATCATCATCACCATCATTATATATCTGCAGCCAACGATTGCTGGATTTTGTACTGATCGTATTAACCGAGAAGTCTTGTGCTGGAACTTTGCATCACTTAATCGTCTCATGCCTTCTCCTTGGCATTCTGTAACGAGCCCCCAAGCTATCCCTCATTTTCATAAGCCCTGAACCCTATACCCTGCGCCCTAACCCCGAACTTCACACCCTGTACTGGGTTGCTATTACCCTAATGTCCATGTCATGTTCTATGTAATGGTCCATTTGATTCTTCATTATTGGGAATACTTTTCGTAAACCTTACATATCCCCATATAACCCCATTAAGTTCCTTAAACCCAAAACCCTAAAACCTATGTAAGGCCATGCACATCATGGCAGCCTTGTCTGAGATCGGACTTGCCTTCCCAATCCAGGCATAGGGGATTTATAGGGATTCTGAAGGGGGACTATAGGGATCATATGAGCTATGGACTAAGTTTAGGTTGGGGGGGACTTATAGGGGACTATATGCGGTTTTAAGGGGGACCTATTTAAGGGATATGCCACAGATGTAGTCCAGGGCTCATACAGGGATTCTGAAGGGGGACTATGGGGATCATATGGGGTTTGGAGGGTTATAGAGGGGCTAGATAGCGGATTATGTAGGGTTTTGGGCTTCAGGAATAACTCGTTTATGATGCAGGGCGTGTAGCGTGCAGGGCTTCAAACCGTTGACGGTTCAGAGTTGAGGTGTCAAGGTTCAGGTTCAGATTTTGGTGTCTGGGATTGAGGGTCCATGTGGAGGGGCTTTTGAAATTGCCGGTCCGTGGAAGAAGGAAAACGCAATGTTCCCCTGTTTTTGCAGGAGTCCTAATGTGTGAAGCATGCATGTTTCAGAGTAGGAGTTGATGGAGGAAATCAGCGCCAAGACCCGGAAGTCCAGGGCCTATGTCCTAAAGTACAGTCCGAGTCCGAACTAAGCCTATTAGAGTTTACCACGTGATGCTGAAAGACCTGGGCCTCCATATACATGGCGATTTCATTTGTGTTGCCTTTGAACCCCCCCCCCCCCCTAACCCTCATATTTCCATAGGGTGCCCAGGTGCTCCACATTCCCAAACCTCAAACCCTGAACCCTAAACCTTAAACCCTACTAAACACTAATCCTAAACCCTAAACCTTAAACCCTCAACCCTAATTTATGTGTGGAAGGCTAAAGGCCATTCATGGTCAAGCCCTGCTTCCCCACTCCCATTTCCGTTGCGGAGGTTTGTCAAAGAGGGGATGCCCTTCCGGATCGGTTTAGGGTTCAGGGTTGTTGGGTCCTTCCCCTTTACAGAATCTGTCCTGAAAGGGAGTCTTAGTAACGGGATATCATAACTCCTCTTACCCATTGTGGTGGCTGTTACTGTAGGGGGGAATGAACCAAGGCGCATATCAAAGCGCATATGGGGATTTCTAGCATGATGATATAGATGATATAGGGAGTTCTCCTGGGGGGCCTAGGTATACACGATTTGGATACCCAGACGCCTTCACGTGCCTACGCCGTAAGCGCTTGTGCCCCAAAACCACTCAAGCTTTGTGCTATGCCTAAATCCTACGAATCCCAGCCTTGTTAGAGAAACCCTGAGAGGTTTCAGACATAGCCTCTCCACAGGCGAAGGACCGCTCGAGCGTCTAACACAGGAAGTGTAGATGGGACTTTGACCGTTTTGGGGGGATTCTGGGGGCCCTGAAGATGGGTATATGCCAGGAAAACAGACGTAAAGAGAACTGAGGGGAACCCTCGGATTGAGGGCCCAAACTGGGGGTTGGTACTTCTAACCTTAAAGTCCCTCTGACATAGATAGATTATGGCGTTTGGTATATTCTCATAAGCTCCCCATATACCCCATATTCTATCTACTTAAGGGGGACTATAGAGATTGGCTTCCGTGACTTCCTCTGGGGAAAGCGGCAGCGGACCGGCGGGGGACATATGGTAAGGGTTTGGGGTTTTTGAGCGTGCTCGGGGCATTCCAGACACCTACATGCGTACACACATACCTACATACGCCCAGCAACCCCCTAAACCCTAAACCCAGGACATGCTGCTCTTTGTCATGTACCTCTTCCAGAATCTGCCCAACTACGTCCCGAAGACTACAATCGTTTTCTCGACGATGCTGGGAGCCGCTGGCTTTGCACGTGGACTTGCAGGATTACTTTCATGTAACGTAGTGATTCCTTAGAACTGGGCTTATGACGGGATTCATACTCCCCCTAAATGAATTTAAGTACGATTTCAAAATGTAAGTCGGCTCTGGAGTGTCGGGCAACTGGCAGAAAAAACACGTTGATCTCGAGTAGCTCCACATGAAGCACGCTGAAACAACACTTCCTCAAACGCGCATGGAACCAGCAGCAGGTGCAGTAACAGAATCCTACCCGTGCAAAAACTTGCATGCGGGTTTCCATGTTTGCTTGGAAGATAGGTGTGATCCCCAAATCCGTGAAACCCAACACCGGAACCCTACACCCTAGTGCCGCAAAACTCCAGCATTCGCTCACAATAGGCTTGATTCAGAGTTCTACCCATGAATTCATCGCTTCGACGTAGCCTCAGAAGCCCTTCCCCGGAACAACAAGTGGGGGCTTATCTACAGCAAAATCACCCAGGGTGCCCAGGGATGCATGGGGGTTATGAGCGGAATGCAGGCACTCCTATTCAGGATGGTACAGGGATTATTTAATATTCCATACATACCTCGTGACTAAGGTTTATTGTTGGAAATCTATTTTTTACATATGTGTAGGTATATACCTCTTTCTAGTATCACAGAGGGAGAGGGGGGATCAGATGTCTTTCGCTCGGGCTTACCCATCTTCAGGTCAACATGACGAAGAACATCGAGCTCACAAATCCATCGAAGAAGGCGCGAATCCCTTTGTTTGCGGGCCTGCAGCCCCAACGAGAGGGTTCAGGAAGTAGGGTTCAAGCCTCTCTTGAACGACCATGTTGACAAGCTTGTTGAGAGTGTTGGAGGCTTCGAAGATGATCCAACCGACGGTTTCAGTGACAGACCCTAGGCCTATGCCTGGAACCCCTGGGTTAGCCCCAGTCCCCACACCCAAAAAGAAACTCCCAAACAACTGTATGGGAGTGCCAACAGAGGACCTGTATAACTATTGCAAGCCCTACAGATCCCCAGAATCCCCCAGTCCCCCTCAGTTTGACAACCCCAAACTGCAAACCCCTCATATACCCTACATAAACTCTCCTCATCTACTCTTTTATACCCCTGTATACCCTGGACCCCAAACATTACCCAAACCCTGAATAACCTGGTAGTTTCCGTTGTCCCGTAGACTGGCAGGCCATCACCTACTTGGTGCAGCTGGTGGGATCGAGTGGAAACGACTTTGCCGTCAAGGAAGATACTATCAAGCTGGAGCCCAGGCGGAAGCTTCCCGGGGAATATATCATGCTGGGGTTATATGGGGATAATGGAAAAGAAATGGAAACTACTATTTAGGGTCTTGGGTTCAGGGTTTGAGGGCTTAAGGGTTGAGGGGCTTAAGTTTGAGGGTTCAGTGTTCTGAGTGTAGGGTATTCAAGCTGGAGCCCAGGCGGAAGCTTCTCAGGAGTTTAGGGTTTGAGGTTTAGGGTTGTGGGTTTGGGGGTTTACGTTTTGGGTGTTTTTGGGTTTAGAGTATAGGGTTATGGGTAGGGGTTTAGGGTTTTGGTTTCAGGTTGTAGGGTTTTAGGTGTGGGTTGTAGGGTTTGGGAGTTTGTGTTTTAGGGTTTGGGGTTT